AGGGTGATTGCCATGAGATTCATAGAAATAATTAAAATCATCAGCAAAAGAGAGAGCTCTCTTTCTGCCCATAATAAAATACTGATTTCAAATTGATAGGTTTTTAATTTTTTCATTATATGTCTCATCAAATAGATAGTTAGGGATAAGCTAAATGTATTTTGACTTATTTTGTTTTAGTTTTTCTTATCTAGTTCAGATAAAAAAATAAATTATTAGCAGTATAAATATTCAGTATTATTCAGTTCTCTGAGTAAAAGAGTATGTAATGCCTTTGGATGGAATCATACTTTATTTTCTTATTTATGGCTCTTCCTATGTTAGAGCTAGAGTACTGGATCTTCTTCTCCCATCAGCTTATAGGATTATTCTGAAACAAAGCCCCATATTTCCTTGGCTATTGGATTGTCCAGAAGGCTAGAGGTACATTTTTGCTGCAGTTATCATGTTTATGAAGATCTATGTGGGAGGCGTTACAGATCTACACTGCCTTAAAGTGTTCTACAAATTCATTACAGATCATATTTAAAAATCAGAGTAAATAAAACTCATTTATGGGACAGCGTAGGTATCCATTGCAATCTGAACTACCTGCCCAGAGTCCAGAGCATTTCTCCTTTACTGTGTGCAGAGGTACTCTTTAAAATCTGAAGACAATACTTAGTGCTAGTATAAATCTTTTCAAATGGCTGGTGTCTCCTGCATTTACAGCATTTTAGTATCTGAGCACATATACCTTTTGAATATTTTAAGTATCGTAGGAGCCCAAAGGGTAGGTCAGTGCTTCCATCTGTCTTGCAAGATGCAAAGTGACATTCTGAATGTGACACAAATATCACAGCAGAGTGTACCTAGAAATGGAGCTCATTGCCATGGATTTCAGTCAATTTTCCTTAAAAAAGTCTCTCAGTTCTTAATTTGTCTGATACAACCCAATTTAGGGTGTTAAGACTGATTATTCAGGGGCAAACCTTGAGTGGTCCATACAGTGTAAAAATACAGAGTTGTTTTCTTAAACAAAATGATCCATTTTCACAGAACTCCTAACTGGAAGAAGCTGTTACAAACCACTGGCTGGGGTGATTCCCACCCCTCCACCCCCACTGCAGGGTACTGCATGTCAGCAACACCTGTACAGGGCCCAGTGGCTTGTGCTTCACAAAAAGCATTTCTGCCAGCGAGGATCCAGCCTTGATCTGAAAATCGGGAGATCTATATTCTGCTGCCATTTGCAGCTTGTCTGGTTGCATCTTGCATTAATTCACCAAATACCTGGCTCTGCTGACTGAGTCCTCACCACCATCTCCCTGTACAAGTTGTGTTGTGCAGGCGGACCACTCCTCAGATAGACTTCAGGGCTGATAAAATCGGAGCTGCTGCCTCCAGGGTTTTGAATACTGCTTTAGCTCTTTCTTGTGCATCTCCAGGATTTCACAATGTAATTTTAAAGATCTGTAGACCAGAACTGAACTTTTAATTCCATTTTTGCTCATGCTGCTTTTTCTGAAAGGACGAGATATATTGGAGGAGTGTGTTACCCCTCCTTGCCACACTTGCTCAAGCAGGCTCACTGCTGGAGCCTCCTCCCAGGTTCAGGCTTGTGGCACTCCGGATCCAGGCTTTCATTTCAGAGATGTGGCTAGAACCTGTCATCCAGGGTTTTTTCAGTTTTACATTTGACATTTGTATATTGTGTTATTGTGCAACTTCTCTTTTATTTCTTTTCTTCCCCACCTGCCCCGCTCACGCCGTCCCAGCAGTGGAGGAGCATGTTTTGGTTTGTTGTTCCTTTCAAATGGCCCCAAGCCGGAGTGATTTGGATTTCTCTGTATAATCGTGCTGTCCTGATTCATATCTCTGCCAGTCTAAGTTATCTGCTCCAAATTTTGAAATGTGTATTTCCATCATTGGAATGATGGAAAAACCATTGGGATTTACACTCTGAAACATCACTCTAAATATTGTGATTTGATGCTATTTTCCTGTTTGCAGGTACTTTGGAGACCTGACAGATAGCCTAAGCATTGATCCTATACTTTACTGAATGGCATAGCTGAGTGTGTAAGTTAGGCCACTGAAGACAAAACGTAGTGGAGTTGGGTGAGATGAAAAGGAAGTAGTTCTCTTATGTTCAGGCAATTTACATGCGTGGTTTGTTCAGTTCTGTTTCTAAGTACGTATCGAACATGACGTTCTTTATGTCTGAAATAGTAGCAGAATAACCTAGTGGTTGCTAAGGTAATGAGACCCACTGTTCCCTTACCAATTCATGTAAGTAAAGTATGGAATTTAATTTCACTCTGTGTTACCTGAGGCAGCTCTGGCATCTGATAAAAAAATGATCTTCACATTCTTATCCTCTTCCTTTCTGAATTTCATTGAAATACTGAGATGTTTCTCTTTTTGTAAATAAATGAGGCTGCCCTGCAGATGGTGGGGTAGAAAGTAGACTAAGAATTACATCTTTTGTCTTACAGCTGTTTTTACTCTCAAAGTATATTTGTCTTCCTGCTGAAACACTTCTATTGCTTGTGATAGGGACTGAAGATTTGACTGCCATAAAAGTTCTTCTTTCTGTTTTTCTCTTGATGAAGAACTTACGTGTTTATTGTCTGTTCTGGTGCTGTGGTTGGAAAGTACAGCATGAGCATGAATCCTAGATTTATTTCTTCATCAAAGGAAGGAAGGTTCCTTTCTGATTGTGTATCAAAAGCAATATGGTAAAAACAGAAATTTGCAAACACAGGACACCAATAGGTGAATGACTGAGATGCTTACCTGGTGAAACGATTTTTGACAAAGATTGTCACTGCCTTGGGAGTGCAGGCAGCAAACAAGAAATCTGAAGGGGCTCTGACCAGTGTGCAGCCAGGCAATGCTGCACCCCAGGCCACCTTGACTTTGTAATGGAAAAAGAGAATCTGTATTGAGCTACTCAGCAGCTGATCAATCACCTGAGTCCACCAGGCCAGCCTTGCAAGATTCTATCTCTTACCTTCATGAAGAGCAAGAAGAAACAGCTGAGGCATAGGATGGAGTTATGCTTGGAGTAAGGGGATCTATTGTAAGAGAAAGGCAGCTTGTTATGCTGCATTATGCACCAGCAGAATACTGTTCTGCTTTTTTATGCTACAAATTGTGAAACAATGAATGTCTTAACCATGTCAAATTGATACCAAGTCATGGGTCACTTGCAAATGTAAGTTGCCACAAGTGGGCTGTTTTAGACTAGTAACTGTTTGGATATCAAGACTTTATATTCCAATAGTCTGTTTGCTCAGAGAAGTGGATCAGGGAGGTGAAGTGGACAGCTGGCATAATATATGGACACTTGAACCTGGAAACGAAAAGACAGCTGCTGGATCTAATTTTAAACATAGGTCTTGGTCAGATCGCTCTAGATCCTGCTTGTCCTGCTGCAGCAAAGTCGTTAATGGTAGTAGAGAGGCGTGAAGTTGAAGATACTGATAAAGAACTTTTGTGAGGAAGGGAATCACCCTTGTTCCAGTTATGGTATTTCCATTTTTCACAGTAAGTATTGTTAGCTTCCAGAGAATGGGAGTGGAAATGGTTTCTGGCTGGTACACGGTCTAATGCTGCTGACACGGGCAGCTTTTCTGGGGCATCTTAATGGGCAGTGGGACTCGCTGTCCTCAAAGTACAAGGGCAGCCAGCGCTGTTTCAAACGAGGAAAGTATGTAACAGAGTGGGGATTTTCCTAATATTTTAAAATAACACATAGTTACATATCAGTCAGGTTATAATTCCGAGTTTTTACATCACGGCTCGGGAATGCGGCGGCGTTAGCGGCGGTCTGCAGCTCCATCTAGCGGGGCGCGGCAAATCCTGCTTGCTCGGGTTTGGATTCGGTTGGGGTTGTTTTTTTTGTTTTGTTTTGTTTGTTTTGTGTTTTGGGTTTTTTTTAGCAAGTACAAAAAATAACCACGAACAATATCGTACCGATAGAATACTTCATTTGGGATTAGCCAGTTAGACACTTCATTAATTCAGCAGCTGGTTAAGTGTTTTCGAGTTTCTGTTTTGCTTTCAGAATGCCATTACCAAGCTGGGGGTAAAATTTGTTTGTTGTAAAGTGTGTTAGTATTGTTCTGCTTTATTAGGACTATGATGCTAAAATTCAGAGTTATGGAAACATTTCTGGTATTCACTCTCTTTAAGAAGTTAGCTAACCTCTGGGAATTTTGGAAGCAAGCAGCATATCACTCGTCTGAGGTGAAGATTCCCCTCTGCTAGACCACTCTGTCAACCACAATAGGTTTAGAAGTAACAGCTTTGCTGGTTAATATCTGCTTCAAGAAAGTGAAACGTCCAAATTTTTTAAATAATTGATTTATTTCCTTTTTAGTAACAAGAAACTTGATGAAATAAGAATAAAGAATAAACATAATTTGTGGGTTTATTACAAAACTTTAAACTGCAACTTGAATTTACATCTGTGGAGCTTGATTAGGGCAGAAAATATAATTATATTTTTCTAAAGGCAGTCTAAAATGGTGTGAATCTCCAATACAGAGAGACAGTCTAAATTAATTAATGATCACACTCAAATATAAAAGCAGTATGCATTTATCTGTCTTTTTTCCTAAGGCTATCCTAAGTGGATAAAATATATTTATTCTAACGTGGCATATAAAATCTCTGTTTAAACCATTGTAAATAGCATGAAAAGAGCTGAGAGCCAGAGTTGTAGGACAGAGGCCATAAATGGCCAAGTAGGAGGTCACATTTCATTTAAGCGAGGCCCCTAATATCAACAGTATTAGCCCAGCTAGTATTAGATTTGTGTTATATTTAAACCTTCAGCTTTTTTGCCTCCTGCACAAGTGAATGCTGTTCTTGTTGATTGAACTCAAAGGCTTTGAAGTGCCAGCTGCCAAGAGTGGTTTATTTCGAATCTTCTATCCCCTGTCTGCCTATGTATCCTTTCTAAGCGTGAATTTTTGTCTGCACCTCCTATTTAATGCTCTTACTGTCAACAGGCTAGTTCAGAAGTACCGAAATTGCGGAAGGAAGATCAGAAAGCACGAAACGCACTCTTGGCTGATATCCAGCAGGGAACTCGCTTAAGAAAAGTGACTCAAATCAATGACCGCAGTGCACCACAGATTGAAAGTAAGTCTGTGCTCCTCGGCAAGGCCTGAGTGAGCTTCGCTGAAGCCTCAGGTGTGGGTGGAGATCAGCTGGACAGTTTCACACTGAAGGTTTGAAGTTCAGCAAAGGTCTGTATCTTCATATGGCTTTAGGATGCAGAGTGGGGACACTGTCTAAGCTTGCATCCTGCTCTGAGATCAGTAACTATTAACATTTCATGATAAGTCTGTAGCTGGATATCTCCTTACCAGGCATTCCTTGTCAAAAAAAATTAAAAATCATGAATGATTAAATCCTTGAGAGTTTCTCAATAAAAAAATTAAGCAAGAATTGTTGGCTCTTGCAGAAAAATTGTTCTTTACTAGATTAAAAGAACAAAAAATGCCAAAAAATTTTGGAAACATAAATTTAATGTTAGGCCTAACACAACTTCTTCTTGGTGTCATGATTAATGTGAGAATAAAGAGCACCAGAGGGTGCTGTGCTCCAAATTACAGGTCCAAGAGTGATGGCAGTTACTGTAGTAACAGTAGAGGGAAAAGTCTGGCTTTGGCCCTTTGTTGGTGCCAAGCCTTAGCAGTCTCAGGGTAAGGATGAAATGATTTTCTGATATACCCTGTGTTTTGGTTCTTTTTAACAGAACCCAAAGGAGCTAACAGAGATGGAGTTAATCCAGCTGTCAATAAAGGTGGCTCTCAGCAGCCTCTGGGAGGTTTATTTGCTGGTGGCTTTCCTGTTCTCAGACCAGCAGGCCAGAGGGACATGACAGGTAAGGACTTTATTTGTATGAAAGCATAGCTGAGGGGAGCAGTGATTTGGGATAAAAACACTTTGGGGTTAGCTTTAGTGATTCATTTTTATTGGGGGTTTTTTCTGAATCTTTAGTTCATCATGTGACCACGGAGGGCTCAATTAGTAACATGCTTGAAGCCATCTTTCTAGATCTCAGGTGCCTTATTTGTTAAAGTGTAAATAAAAAGCTTTTTCCACACTGGGTAGGAAAGAGATTGAATAGATGTCTTTAACCGAGCTTTTTACATTATTTTAATGAAAACTTCTAATTGTGCCTCAGAGTGTTGAAATTTGAGCTTATTATTTCAGCACAAATGGCAAAGTCATATTTCCTTCCCTCTATTAGCATATATTTCTGTGGTATTACAGTCTTGGTTGTTACTTTAAAGATTCATATTAAAGATTTTTGCCCTCTGGACTTTACAAAGTATAGTTTTGATCCAGCAAGGTTATTTATTGACCTGAAAAAGTGTTTTGTTGCTTCACAATGACAGGAGGAAGGCAAATGTGGGAGCCCTACTGTTCCTTTCCCCTCAAGAAGTGCCAGCATCAATGAGGGGTGACTGTTAGTCACAGTGATGACCTCTGGTGCTGTTGGGCAGCTGGTGCCTGATCAGGCAGCACAGAGCAAAGCAGGCTTTTGCAGGGAAAGACTTTGGTTCTGCCTGCAGGGTTTTTTCTCCTGGAAGGCAGGCTCAAGATGCACAGCACTGCATGTGATAGGGCTTCCTCACAAAGCTTCAGCTGCAGCAGCTACTTTGAGTTGTTTTTAAAATTGTGGCCATGCCTATCAGACTATGTGAGTATAGAATGAGATGCCTTTTTTGACATCTTGCTTTGTGATAAATCCTTGACATTTACTCAGGAAAATACATTTTGTAGAGTCGACAGTCTTTGGGCATTTGCTGTTGAAAATATTTGAACCCATGCATCCTGGAAAGCCTTTGAGGCATTGCTTTTAAGAGCTTGGCTTTTGTTCAGGGGGTTGAGATTTATGTAAAGTTTATGTGAATTTTTTAATCCTAAGCAATCATTTAATTTCAAGGATGCAATATGATGTGTGTCAAACCACCTTTTCACCAGGACTCAGCGATGCTCAGCTGGCTGTACTAGACAGATGAGGCTGGTGTGAAGGATCCCAGATCTCTGCAGAGAAGCCCCTTTTCCTTAAACTGTTTCATTTTGCAGAAACTGAGGAAGAGGGAGGGGGCTAGGGTGTCTCAGCAGTTCGTCATATAACTAAGCAGAATCCCTTGTGCCCATTGGAGTACGTCACATCCTAAGCCCCATTACACCATGGGCAACCTGTTGGATACGAGATGTTTTGGAAGAATTAGTTTAACCCCTTAGGGTATCCACCGGGAAGGGGAAGACGAAGACCTTGCTCTTTGCGCTATTTTGTCTGACGAGTGGGAACGCGGTCCTGCAGGATAACGTGTGACATCTGTTTTCAGCAGGGAGGCCTGGGCAGGTTTCCGGAGTCCGAGCAGCGGCCCCCAAACACTCCGCCCCAGCGAACAGCGGCGCTGCCAAGCCGAGCAGTAACCCCTCGCACCCAGCCGAAGGTCCAAGGGCAGCTGTGCCACCAGAGCCTCCCAGCACCTCCCGAGCCGGAGCGGGAGCCGGAGCCGGCTCCGGGCGGCCCAGCCTGCCCGCCCCCCCTCCACCGCCTCCCGCTTCCAGCAAACCTTCCCTCACTTTCCCTCCTCCTCCCCCTCTCCCTCCTCCGGCCGATCGCCCTCCCAAGGGGGTGACGCCCGGCGCGGCTCCTCCGCCCCCGCTCCCTCCTCCCCAGGCTGACAAACTCGCCAAGTCTCCAGCAGGCGCTTCACACCCGCCCCAACCGCCCCCTCCTCCTCCTCCCCCTCCCCTGCCCCTCGTCCCCCCCTGCGGGCTGCCGGCCAGGACTGCCGATGTCCCTGCGGCTACCGCCCCTCCAGCCGAAGGGAGGG